TTCGATAGTGCAGCAGAGATGATATCCAAACTCAAATCGAAAATGTTTTTGTGCGTGTTCCTGAATAAAGCAAAGTCGAGGGTGAAGTTCTTGTTTTCGCGGTAGCTTTGGAAAGGGGATATGCTAGCGAAAAACGGAGACTCGTGTCTGTTCAGGAAAGTAAGGAGTTGGGTCATGGTTCGGTTGATATCAGGCCGGAACTGGGCTTTTGACGGTAGATTGGATTCGGAAAGGAAAGCATCATAACTGCATGGAGCCACGACTTTCACCCTTGTGGCCAAGTTTGCTTTGAGTAGAGCTGCTTGGATATTGATAGCTGCTCCAACAAGAAACGGGTAGAACTGCTCACCGTAACTTTGGAGGAAAGGCTCATCACCAACTGCTATATAGCTATAAACAGAACAAATATTGACTTTAGCCCGAAAGCATCAAGGGACTCAAACGTGTGAAGACATATGTAAAAATGGAGAAACAGTCACCGAGGTTACACAAAGTTACACAAATCTGTGAATTCCATTAAAAGAAGCAGCAAGAGCAAAATCTTGCAGCTGATCTCATTCACACGAGTTTCAATATTTTCCTACCTAAGTAGTACCTTATATATGCATCCATAGTAAACTAACAGAGTATCTTGTGCAGTCGACGACATAATGTATATATGTACCAAGAATTGTATAAATGTTGGTTAGCAATCAAATTTCATAGAATCAGCTCATTACTAAACGGGGTATTAAGCTGCTAAGTAATAAGAGAATGAAGGATAAGAAAATGCCACAAAGCATCTACATTCTTGTGCTGTAGAGAGTCCTAAAACAACCTTGTTTCTCAACCCTACCAATCCTCTGTAACTCCTCTATTTTCCTCACTAATCCACTTGAAACAGCAAAATCAGACAACCAAACCAAACAAGGTCAGCCAAAATTTAAGATCCCCAAAAACACACAAGAACAGAAAACTATGAAAGCAAAAAATGAAAAGTAGAAAAAAAAAACAGCCAAATTTGAATAGAATAAGAAGTTCATTTAAAGACCCACTCAATGAGAACCCTGGAGGCGCCGTCGGAGACAAAGCGGGTAAGATTGTCGTGGACCCAGCTCTCGGCGGCCTTCAAGGACGAGTTTAGGCGGCGAAGCATGGAATTCGGAATGCCGACGGTGACCCGGATTCCGGAGCCCGAGAGCGACTGTAGGACCTGCGGGTCGGCGTCGAAGAGCTTCACTTTGGCGATACCGTTGGCTTTCAGCAGCTCCACCACTTTCCGCGGCTGCAGAGGGTGCGACGCCGCCGTGCCCCAGTTGACGCCTAAGCCGTCGACTTCAGAAAGTGCGGCGGCTGATAATGCCCAAATTAGGGGGATTACCCGGAGAATGGGAGTCGATTTGATGGCCGCCGGTGACATTTTCGTCGGGAGGAAAATAGTGAAATTGTTGCTAGGCGTTGCTCCTTACATGTTTTGTTTTTATTTAAAGGAAATATGTGAAATATTCAAATATAAACTTAAGAAATGTCATTGTTACATAATATTATACACAAGGATGTACATAACATTCATATTGAATGAGACTTATCAAAAATAAAAAATCAAGTGGACCTCACTCCATGTAAGTGTTATGTACATTTTCATGTACATTTATTATGTATTTGTAGTATATTCCAATAAACTTCACTCAGTAACAATCTAATCATTTTTAACAAATTTTTTTTCAACTCAATCTCATTCTTCTCAATATTATCAACATAATTAATTAATATTAATCATTCATTCTTACGTATTACTAGTATGTAATCCCGTGTGATACGGGCTGTATTTGTTTTGGTAGAGTTTATAATTAAAAGCTATTAATCATAAAATGTTCGTCATGAAAAAAGTCATACATTATTAAAACATCTTTATTTTTCATGCAAAATTATTTGCATTTGACAACCGTACTGTTGTTATGTGATTGTTAACAACGATGTAATCTATGATTAAGAAAGTAATTTGGAAG